AAAAAAAAAAAAAAAAAAAAAAAAAGAGCTGTGAAATCATCACCCCATTCAAGACTGTGCACGCAGACCAACCACCACCGAGTTTTCTCCCGCCTTGTTTCTCCCTCCTCCTCATGCTTCCTGCCCTAGGACACTACCAGTGTGCACCTTTCAATACAGGTCCGTTGGCATTTCTGAAGTTTCATATCAGTGGAATCATATGGTGTCAGCTGAGTTTCAGTCTCTTTTCACTTAGCATAAAAATTTTGAGATGCATCCAGATTACCACAAATAGCATCAGTCTGTTCCTTCTCATGCCACAATTTGTTTATTCACTCATTCATTGATGTAAATTAAGTTTGGGGCTATAAGTTTAAAAAACTGCTAGAACATTCATGGCCCAGTGTATAGGAGGACGTGCACTTCTTCTTCTTAAGTAACTGCCCAGGAGTGGAAGCAGTGGTAGTTAAGGATGATGAACTTTTTAAGGAGCTGCGATCTCTCTTCCTGTCCCTGAGACTAGTGGATGGAACTTGACGGGCAGATGCGCAGTAAGTACCTGAGCAAAGGAAGGGAAGTGGGAATGCGGACCTTGCCCATCACACACAAAGTGACCTGAACAAGGGTCCCTGGCTTCAATTCCCAGTGTGTAAAAGCAGCCAGGTTTGTTGGATTTAAAGATCTTGAGGGGCCTCTTGGCTCTAAAATGATCCAGGTTTGAGGCCACATCCCAGGGAAAGAGTCTGGAGTTCCGGGGGAGTGGAGAGAAGAAAAGACAAAGGGGATCAGACAAAGGGAGGGAATAGAAATTAGAGCCACCAAGGAGAAGGGAAGGAGGGATGAGGCCAATTTCATCCCAGTGAGATCAGGGAAGAGAAGACAAAGCCAGAAACCAGCAGGGAGGGGGCAGGAAGGATCCACCGCCGCATGCAGGGAAAGCAGCTAGCTGGACAGGGTCCCCAGAGACAGAGCTGACCCTCATCATCCTGAACACCTGCCTCCCACCTCTAGCCATCATCTCAGCTAGGAACGTAGAGCCATGATGAGCTACAGCCATGTTTTTAAAAGAAGTCTTCTAAACATCAAAATATTGAAGCTGTTGTTGTCACACTGTGGGTTAGTTGCCATGGAGAAGAAGCCCCAGCAGCCACTCCAATCAAACACCAATGGGAGATGGGAAGTGGGCCTCAAATGGGCTGCACTAGGGCTGGTGTCAAAGAAGGGGTTCTCTGCCCACAGCCAAGAATGGGGGAAACTTGCATGGGAACTGCTCTCGGCCCCAGCCACACTTTTCTGAAAAGTCATCCAAACTGGATCTGTTGGGGAGGCACAGAGATGACAGGAAAAATGAGGCCCAGAAAAGAAGAAATACCTGCCTAACATCATAGAATAAGCCCAAGAGACCCTGGCCTAAGTGTCCTGCTCTGGGTCCAGATGGTTTCCTAGCACTTCTCCTGTTTGCCTTTCAAGACCCATCGCCAGGTATTTCAAAGGTGGCCCCATCCTGTGAGTAAGTCAACATCCTCGATGTAGTGACTTCTCAGAGCAAGGACTGGGGAAGCCCAGGGGCTGGGGAGCAGAGCATCGCTGCCCCTCCCATCCCACTCAGCCCGCTCAGCATGGCTACTGAGCGTCTTTGGGCCTAAATGTCACACAGACTAACCTCCTGCTGCTCACGCACCTCCCCCCTGTGCGCCCACCTCCAGGCACTGGCTCAGATGGTTCTCTAACATGCCCACCCCACCTGGTGCCCCATCTTCCAGTTCTTAGAAAGCTTCTAGCTCTTCCAACGCAGCTTAACCTTCATCCCTTTCTGCATCTTATCCATTGCCTTAAAAGAGAGCTCATTTCTTCACCACTGTCCATCCCAAAGGCCCTCCCCTGAGCACCAAGAGGGCCCCTCTAACACTCTGGATCCCCTCCCATCTAGGAGGACAATCTTAGAAGTCATCTGCAAGCCATCATCCCTATAGCCCCTGCAGCCTCCTCACTCCTCTTTCCTTACCACTCCATTGAAACAAGGTCTTCTGTCAGAGCCTGAAATGTCCCTGTCTTTTTTTTTTAAGTCTTTATTTGTTTTATTTGGTACAGAGCCTCGCTACACAGCTTGGACTCATAGTCAGGCTGTATCAGCCTCCCCAGTGCTGGGATTACAGGCATGTTCCACCACGCCTGCTTTCAGTGGCCAGCAGTGTTCCCTGGGGTTTCAGTACAGTGTGGCATGTGGTACTGGGGATTGAACTCAGGTGTTTGAGCTAAGTGCCAGGCAGGCACTTAGATTGCCAAGCTATCTCTCCAGCCAACCCCTAGTCTTTTCTACTTGAGGTTTTCTACTTCTACCTTGTCTGTCTAGAAGGCTTTCTCTTCCCCTCCTCACCCCTCAGCTCCCACCCACACCAACTGAGGTTTCCTTGCACCATTCCCTCTCCCAACAGCTGGTACAGTACTTTTTACTTGATGTCACATCACCACCTCCCATCAGTGGCTGCACTGCCCTTTGTGTCCTTGTCTGGTGTTTGCTCTCCCACTAGACCACAAGCTCATGGAACAGTGACCATGTCCACTAGAAGCCACAGTGTCCTGTGCTCCCAGCACAGCTCCTGGAACACATCAGGGACCCAACAAAAATTTCAGAGCAGACGGATGGAAACTGAGCTTCTGCTCTCGGGGCTCTCACATTGGGCAAGTCTGCATGGGAAAGAATTCTAATTCCCACCAAGAACCCTCCTCTTGGTGTTCTACAGAGTTCACCCCACCAGGTGTGACAATGGAGCTCACTCACCTCTAGCATCAAAGAATTCTTCATCTGAGCTCTCCACTGAATCGCTAAGGACATTCCGAAGGTGCCAGGGGGCACCGCCACCTGGGGAAGGGCCACCTGCAAAAGAAAACACATTTCTTAGCCAAGCCTGCAACAGCATCCCAGTAGGAAAGAGGTAGCCCCAGACACACTTGGACTCAGGGTAAACACATCCTGCCTGTCTCTGCCTCTTCCTCTATGGCCTCAGGCTTCATCAAGTGCTCCCACTTTTATGTTTTCAGTTACATTCCCCAAATGCTATCCAGGGAAGCCCCACAGGGCAGGAGTGAGTAGGT